TATGAACAGCAAATACATACCTATCAACAAGTGAATCGAAAAATCAAATGAATAAAAAATCTGATGAACAGAGGTAACTGGTGAATATAATAGAATCAAGGACATAGAAAGGGAGTGGACTGACAATTCTTGGGGGGAAGTGGTGAGGGGGGTGCGGGAAGAGACTGGACAAAAATCGTGCACCTATGGATGAAGACAGTGGGGAGTGAGGGAGGAGGGTGGGGTGGGAACTGGAAGGAGGGGAGTTATGGGAGTGAAAAAGAGGAACAACTGTAATAATCTGAACAATAAAGATTTAATCAAAAAACATCTTTTCATCTTACATGAGAGTCATAAAATTGGTCTAGACCTGGTGGTGTTGATGGTGTCAGGAAATGGGGATCCTTCTATTGTGTATCTCTGCAATGTGTGGCTTCTATTTTAAGTTCACCTCATGGTTTATAAGGGGTGTTTCTGTTGCAGCTAGCACATGTCCAGGGGTGGGCAAAAAGATTTACAGTTGTGAGTACATGAAACACAGAGTTTAGTCTTGTATTATTATTTATTAGTAATTCTATTATTTTCCATACAAGCAACTATAAACTTACTTTTTGACCCCAATCTGTGTACGATTAGTAATTTTCTCCTGGAGTATGGCTTGTGTGTATTGCTTTTGTATTTTCAATTCCATTAATTTCTGCTTTTATCTTTCTTTATTCTTTTAATATGTTGTTATTGCTTTTAGGGAGAAGGGAAGGGAGAGAGAGAGAAACATCGATCAACTGCTTCCTGTGCTCCCTCTACTGGGGATCGAACCTGCAACCCTGGCATGTGCCCTCACCAGGAATTGAACTGGAGACCTCTTGTTACATGAAAGAAGCTCAACCAACTGAGCCACACCAGCTAGGGGGTTATTTTCTATTTCTTTCTGTTTGCTTTCATTGTAAATTTCTCTTCTTTTTCTAGCTTTGCACAATAAAATCATCTTTTCCTAGTTCTTCTATTCTAAGATAGAGATCAGTGATGGTGAACCTTTTGAGCTCGGCGTGTCAGCATTTTGAAAATCCCTAACTTAACTCTGGTGCCGTATCACATAGAAATTTTTTGATATTTGCAACCATAGTAAAACAAAGATTTATATTTTTGATATTTATTTTATATATTTAAATGCCACTTAACAAAGAAAAATCACCCAAAAAAATGAGTTTGCGTGTTAGAGGTGTCATAGGTTCACCATCACTGATACAGATTTTCACTCAAAGTTTTAGGTGCTC